ACTTTGTGCAACTGCCATTTCTTCTTCTTGTTGATTGCTTCAAATTTAGATCATAAGATATAGGAGCAGAATTAGGCTATTTGGCCCCTCGAGTTGCTCCTCCATTTGATCATGGCTGATATGTTTCTCAACTATATTCTCCTGCCTTCTCCCTGTAAACTTTGATCCCCTTGCTAATCAAGAACTTGTCTGTCTTAAAAATGACATAAAATGACTTGGCCTCCACAGCTTTCTGTGGCAATGCGTTCCACAGATTCACCACCCTCTGGCTGAAGAAATTCCTCTTCATCTCAGTTCTAAAGCATCCCTTTGCTCTGAGGCTGTACCCTTGGATCCCGGTCTCTCCTACTACGGGAAACATCTTCTCCATGTCCATTCTATCCAGGCCTCTCGGTATTCTGTAAGTTTCAATGAAATCCCTCCAGATTCTTCTAAACTCCACTGAGTACAGACCAAGAGTCCTCAACCACTCATCATATGGCAAGCCCTTCATCCCCGTTCATTCTTGTAAACCACCTCTGGAGCCTCTCCAAGGCCAGCACATCAATCCTTAGATATGGGGTCCAAGTTGCTCACAATATTCCAAGTGCAGTCTGACTGGCGCCTTACGCAATCTCAGCAGTACATTTCTGCTGTTGCATTCCAACTCTCTCAAAGTGTGTAGAAATCTATTACTTTACCTGTTTTACCTTGAGTATATGATCATAGAATCCCTACAGTGTGGAAACAGGCCCTTCGGCCCAACAAGTCCACACTAAGCCTCAAAGCATCCCACCCAGACCCACCCCACTATAACATCTACACATCCCTGAACACTACGGGCAATATATGAGGGCAGAACTTTAATATAAGGAAATACTTAGATCTCTAGCTGCTCACTTAGAACTGGAGAGCTGCTAAGTTGGGCTAAATTTTTAGTTTATAGTTGAGAGACCGTATTTGAACAGATATATATATTCTGCATTAAAAGTAAAGCACACTAAAAATGATTTATCTGTGTTTCGATACACTGTGCAGTTACAGGTTTGAATATTGTGTTTGTCCTAATGACGTGCCCATGATTGAAAAATTTTCAAACCTGTAATTGCGGGTGTGTTAATTAAAGGCTTCCTCTAAACAATTTGATCTCAATACAACTCCTAGGAGCTCTCTGAGATTGATCAGAGGGAGACTGATTCCTCCTCATTCTACTCCACCTTCAGGATGCAGATCAGTTGTTCAAACCTATGTCGCAAGACTGGGTCTTTGTAAAATACTTCTGATAAAGCACTCATACTTCATGTCATCAAGAATTATTGCAAACTGTTCTGTTGTTAAGCAAATTATATAGTGTCTGTCTGGTGCTCACAAACATTGCATTGATTATTTGTCTTTCTGTCGTGTGAGTTCTGACCTTGTCACCCCTGTCCAACATTGGCACCTCCACATCAATCAAGTTGGTGGAACCGATCATTTTTATGCTCCCTCTTCATATTTCCAAAATTATTTTGAATCTGAGACTTAAAATGTGATTATAAGTCAACTATTCAATTGAAGTGCATATCCCTCTTGCGTATTTTAATCATCCATTGAATAACCCCAACATTTTTGCATGCTAGTCTTAATTACAGCCGTTTGATCAGAGTTGAGAAACTATGGAGATCTCTTCTTGAAGGCAAAGTGGATGTCACCGGAAAGATGGACCAACCTAGGGTTGGTCAGATTGAAGCTGTCCCAGAGTTGTTGCAGAGAGGCTCCTGTGGGGGTGTGAGGATTGCACAAGACAGGCGAGCATGACACAATGTAACAGCAGGTCTCCTGGCAAGACTCACTACAAGCTGTAACTGCAGCATAAATTGATTGACTATTCCAAACATTTATCACTTATAACAGTAAATAGTTTTATTTGTATTTATTCAAGATTTTCTCTTTTTTTTCCTGTGGCCTCAATATTCGGCATTTGTTTTGAATTTTAAAAAAAATCAGTTTTCTTTATTCACAAATTTATCTTGCACTTCAGTGAAGATCGCTACTGAATTCTCGATTTTTCTGGACTATAAGGTTAAGCTGGTGTAATCTTTCCTCATCCGTTTTGCACTAGGGATTATAATATTTTAACTCTTAATTGTTTAAGCTTTAATGTGCTGCCTTGGTCATTGAAACTATATCGATGATTATGCCAAGATCTTTCTAAGTCCCCCGTTCTAATTAATTTCCAATCTTTGTACACTTTTGTCCCAAATATTAACTATGTTTTCGGTGTTGTGAATGTATTGATATTTATTTGCCTTTGTAATCTCTTTTGAAATATTAATCCTGATCTTTTTATCACTCTCTTGTATATTGTTTTGCTACTTATCTTGTCATAGAATCATCTAGTCATACAGCACAGAAACAGAGCCTTTGGTTCAACTCGTCCATGCTGACCAAGTTTCCCAAAATAATCTTGTCCCGTTTGCCCGCAATTGGTCCATATCCGTATAAACCTTTCCTATTCATGTACCTGTCCAAGTGTCTTTTAAATGTTGTAACTGTACCTGCATCTACCACTTCTTCTGGCAGTTCATTCCATATTTGAACTATCCTATGTGTGAAGAAGTTGCCCCTCATTTTCCTTGTAAATTTTTTTCCTCTCACCTTAAAATTATGGCCTCTAATTTTGAACTCTCCAACCCTAGGAAAAGACTTTTGCTGTTCGCCTTTTCTATGCCCCTGATGATTTTATAAACCTCTATAAGGTCAACCCTCAACCTCCTGTGCTCCAGTGAAAAAAAAAGTCCCAGCCTATCCAGCCTCTCCTTATAACTCAAACCCTTCAGGCCCGGTAACATTCTTGTAGATCTTTTCTGCATCCTCTCCAATTTAATAATATCCTTCATATAGCAGGGTGACTAGAATTGTACACCATACTCCAAAAGTGGCCACATTAATGTCCTGTATAAGTGCAACATGACGTCCCAACTCCTTTTTGCACTTTAACTACATTTGGTCATATTTGCTTAAACTTAACTATTAAAAATGAGAAATAATGGGATCCAGTCAGTGATCTTTGTAAAACTCCACTCGACATTCTCTCTCCCCCACCCCAAGTCTGCTGTGGCATTACATATCTTGAGTATTTCCAGTTTATTTCAAAACTGGAAATACTCACAGGTCTGGAAGTGTCCACAAAGGGAATCGTTGTTGGCTTTTCAGTAAAAAGATCTCAATCTGAAACTTTTTTTTTGGTAAAAGGTCATGACCTGAAGTTAACTGTTTCCCTCCCCACACACATGCTGCCAGACCTGTTGTGTTTCCAGCATTTTCTGTTTATATTTCAGATTTCTGAAATCACAGTATTTTGCTTTTGAATAATTTATATTAGATAGTTTCTTAACCATTTTCATGTTCTACTCTGTGACTTTTATCTAGCAGTCCTTTTCATGTAGCAGTTTCTGTAAGTGCTCCAAAAGTCCAAATTCTATTTCAGGGATCAGACCGCATTATCTGTAGTGTCTACTCGGATGTTCTAGTGATTTGCCAAACAGGATCTCATACCTTTAACTCTTTGCTGGCTGTGCCTTTATTACACTATCATTGTAAAGATATTCCTCTAGTATGCTGTTTAAAAGTAGATTCTGTTTTTAGTAAATACTGATGTTGCACTGATCAGATGGCTTTCTCAAACAATTTTTTTGTACTTTAAATTTATTTTATCACTAATCTGCAAAGTCTCAATAGTGTTTAACAGTTTGTTGGTAACAGTAACCAGTATATCTTAGTTTCTTACCTGCTTTGCAGTAGCTTCTTCAAATACATTCCTTTTGCCCAAGAAATATGCTAATGTTTTGTTAACTGCCTCTAATTGTAAAAAAAAGCCCTCAGCTCCCGGGTGTCAAACATAAATTGCAACATGTCCATGTCCTTTGATGAAAGGCTCTAAAACTGATCTGCTTAATTTTATATTTTCATTCTCACTACCACTCATATGCTCACTGCTGTTCTAATTTCTTTCTACCTGGATGTGTGTCAGCTCTGCTGTAATTTTTGCTTCTGAGTCAAAAGGTTCTGGGTTCAGGTCCCACTGTAGGGATCTAGCACAAATCAAAGCTAACACTCTCATGCTATACTGAGAAAGCACTGCTCCACTGGAAGTGCTGTCTTTCAGATAAGACCGAGGTCCCTTATACTTAGTTGGGTGCATGTAAAAGATCCCATAGCATTATTTTGAAGAAGAGCAGGGGTTTATCACTGGTGACCTGATCAATATTTGTTCTTCAGTTAACATTATGAGAAAATAATATATTTGGTCATTATCATTGTTACCATAATTTACTCTTGGACTGTATTTTCCCCCCACTTGATCAAACGTTTTGTCCTTTTATTTGAGCATGTAGAAATTCTGCATAGTCACCATTATTGTTTTAAAAGTGGTGTATTTTTCTTTAGTGGAGATATTTTTCAGTAATATTGCCTGCTTCATGCATTGTTTTCGTTCCCACATTCTCTTCAATTTGTGTGCATATAAAACATTTATAATTTCTACTCTTCAATCATAAATATGTATCGGTCTATCTTAGAAACTCATTTTGATTATATTTTCAGACGTCATCTACAAGACTGCTTTACTGCACTGCAGGAGTGCTACTCAGACGACTAGAGGCAGATCCAGATCTCCAAGGCGTGTCCCATGTTATTGTAGATGAAGTTCATGAAAGAACAGAGGAAAGGTAATTCTCTCTTTTTAATACTGGAGCAGCTCATTGTGAATTTCAGCACAGTTCAGGATTGTGCAAGAGGACACCAAAGTAGAAAAGCGTTTGGGATTGTTGACCAGCTTAGAATTTAAAACAATAGTACTTGTGGGAAAATGAAAAAGTAATAAGTTACAATTTTGAACTCATGGGAAAGCTTAAATAGTAGGCTACTCTGAGTCTTATTTTAAAGACAATAAGTCTAAAGAAGAAGAACAAAGAAAGGACTTTTCGGAAGAGTCTTAGCCTTGGCGATCATGGTAGAATAAGGAGAGGCAAGAATAATTGCAATAGATGGAAACTGAGAGTGGATTGAATATTGTTGGGGTGGAATGATTAAATAAATCACTAAATGCCCGGATTCCACTTCCAGCATCAAAGAGTTTATTGAAATTGAAGCTCAGAAGCTTATCGTCATGAATAGAGGATAACTAGGGAAAAGGTAGAACCACTCAAGGATAAAGGAAGGAATTTGTGTTTGGAGGCAGAGAATGTGGGTAAGATCCTAAATGAGTGCTTTGCATCGGTATTCACCCAGGAGAAGGATATGGAGGATAGTGAGATTTGTGTGGAGCATGCTAATATGCCAGAGCATTTTCCGATCAAGAAAGACGTGGTTTTGGATCTCTTGAAGAGCATTAAGGTGGATAAGTCCCTAGAGCCCTATGGTATTTACCTCAGGTTAGTGAGAGGGGCAAGAGAGGAGATTGCTGGGGCCTTGACCAAAATCTTTGTATCCTCGCTAGCCACTGGAGAGGTCCTGGAGGACTGGCGAATAGCTAATGTTGTTCCTCTGTTCAGGAACGGAAATAGAGATAATCCAGGAAACTACAGACTGGTGTGTGTCTCAGTGGGTGGGAAGCTATTGTAGAGAATTCTTAGGGATAGGATTTACACACATTTTGGAAAAGCATGGCCTAATTAGGGACAGTCAGCATGACTTTGTGCAGGGCAGGTCAAGTCTTACTAACTTGATTGAACTTTTTGAGGAGGTGATGAAGGTGATCGATAAGGATAGAACAGTAGATTTGTTTACATGGATTTCGACAAGGTCCCTCATGGTAGGCTCATCCAGAAGGTTAAGATGCATGGGGTCCACGGTGACTTGGCTGTGTGGATTAAGAATTGATTTGCCTATAGAAGACAGAGGGTTGTGGTGGATAGGCATTTTTCAGGCTGGAGGTCCATGACTTGTGGTGTTTTACAGGAATCCGTACTGGGACCTCTGCTGTTTGTGATATAAATAGATGACTTGGATGAAAATGTAGATGGGTGGGTAAGTAAGTTTGCAAACGATACAAAGATTGGTGGATGTTGTTGAAGGATACAGCAAGATATAGGTCAGTTGCAGAAAATGTGTGGAGAAATGGCAGATGGAGTTTAATGTGGATAAGTGTGAGGGGCTGCATTTTGGGAGATCAAATGTTAAGGAAAAGTATACAGTGAATGGCAGGACTCTGATCAGCATTGCTGTACAGAAGGATCTTGGGGTTCAAGTCCATAGCTCCCTGAAAGTGGCTTTGCAAACAGATAGGGTGGTAAAGAAGGCATATGGCATGCTTGCCTTTATTGGTCGGGGAATTGAGTACAAGAGTCAGGATGTCATGTTGCAGCTTTATAAGACTTTGGTTAGGCCACATTTTGAGTGTTGCGTTCAATTCTGGTCACCACATTACAGGAAGGATGTGGAGGCTTTGGAGAGGGTACAGAAGAGGTTTACCAGGATGCTGCCTGGATTAGAGGGTATGAGCTATAAGGAGAAGCTAGAAAAACTCAGGTTGTTTTCTCTTGAACAGTGGAGGCTGAGGGAGACTTGTTAAAAGTCTATAAAATTATGAGATGCATGGTTAGGGTTGATGGTCAGAATCTTTTTCCCAGAGTTGAAATGCCTAATACAAGGGGGCATTTAAGGTGAAAGGGGAAAGTTTTGCCAGGCATTGTAGTGGAGGCAAATACGATAAAGGCATTTAAGAGATTTTTAGATATGCACACGAAAATGCAAAGAATGGCGGGATGTGGACCAAGGGCAGGCAGAAGGGATTAATTTAATTTGGCAACATGTTTAGCATAACATTATGGGCCCAAGGGCCCATTCCTGTGCTATACAGTTTTATGTTCTGTGAACAAAGGAAAGACATGAACTTACATACATTTGTTTTCAGCCTGCCTATAGCAATCACAAACCATTGATATTATTATGTAATTTCATACACACCCAGTCAAATTAATCGTGTGACCGTACAATCAATGATGGGCACTTATGGATAACTCTCGGCCTTCCATGATCTCATGATATTTACCAGACACCCTTATCTCTATCATTGGGGCTTTCACATTGCTTTGTATTTAACCACCTTCCAATACTGCTGACTTCTGCACCTATCATTCAATTCTCCTTGCTAGTAGTGTGGGACCGTCCCTTAGTGTAGGCTGTCTTGTCCCAAGGATTTTTAGTGGAATCTCTTTAATACTTATTCTGTGTTTTTTTTTTTAAGGTTATATGTCAAAATCTATAACTAATTTGAAATCCACAACAATGATTATCTGGAAATCCTAAATAGATTAAATCTATTTATGATGAATCTCAAATTTTAAATTAGCTAGGCATGGAATTTTTCTATTAGCATACACAAGGGTGTCCTTTTCCAACTGTCTCCGTGTAAACAACTGTGTCTGTAACAGGACCCTTTGGTACTGCCTTAATCTTGTAACCTTGGATATATTCTATCTACTGAGCAACTATTGTTCTAACTTATGATTCAATACAAACTACACCAACCAAGCTAATCTAAGTCAACCGAAAACTATTTTCGGCCGTCTTGTGCTGCTTTCAGCCATGGGCAGCTTTTTGGCCATTTTGTGCTGCTTTCAGCCATGGGTAGCCCCAACAAATAGTATGGATGCTGAAATAACTGCACAGAGGCTGGTATCCCATCACAAAGTCACCCTTTATTTACATGTGGAGAGACCTTGACACTGATCCAGCTCTCAGAATGAACAGGATGGCCGACACTCCTTTTTTATCTTTTAGCCAGAGCTCCCTGATTGGACCAGATTAACAGTCCCAATCAGGGAACTTGTATCCTATGAGGTCCACCTGGCTGACCTCATTACAATCGCTACAGATGCATTTTGGGAAAGTGTATGAAAGAGCGCAACAGACGGATGTACTGACAAGGTGAATGGAATAAAGATGGGAAGAGATGTATGTGGAGTACCACCACCATTGTAGACCATTGGGTTGATTGGCCTGTTTCCGTACTGTAAATTCTGTTTACAGGTATGAGAAGGATCATCTGTCAGAGTCTGAGCTTTTCCTTGTTTTCTGTCCATGATGCATCCTGAAATAAGGAAGTAACTTTGTATTATTTTTGGCTCTTAACAGTACTGTAGAACATAGAATAGTACAGCACAGGAACAGGCCCTTTGACCTACCGTGCCTGTGCCAACCTTATTGCCGTTTTAAACTAATCCCATCTGCCTGCACATGACCTGTATGTGTCTATTCCTGTCAGTTCATGTGTCTGTCTAAATGCCTCTTAAAACATTGCTATCATATCTGCTTCTATCACCTTTTTCTGGCAGCACGATCCAGGCACCTACCTCTCTCTGTCTTAAAAAAAAAACCATGCTTCGCACATCTCCTTTAAACTTTCCCCCTCTCACCTTAAATCTATGCCCCCTAATATTTGATGTTTCTACCTTGGGATAAAGACTCCACCTATTCACCCTATCCATGTCTCTCATAATTTTATGTACTTCTATCCGATTGCCCCTCAGCCTCTGATGCTCTTGCGAAAACAATCCAAGTTCGCCCAGTTTCTCCTTATAGCTAATACATTCTAATCCATGCAACATCCTGGTTAAGCCTCTTTTGCACTTTCTTCAAATGTTTATGACCTTCCTATTGTATGGTGACCGGAACTGTACACAGTACTCAAATGTGGCCTAACCAAAGTTTTATATAGCTGCGACTTGACTTGCCAACTTCAATACTCAGTGCCCCAACTGATGAAGGCAAGTATGTTGTACTCCTCCTTTACCACCTAATCCACCTGCATTGCCACTTTCAGGGAGCTATGGACTTGCACCCCAAGATCCCTCTGTATATCAGTGCTCCTAAGGGTCCTGCCATTTACTGTAAACTGTCTGCTTGCATTTGACTTTCCAAAATTTATCACTTCTCACTTGTCTGGATTAAACTCCATCTACCATTTCTCTGCCCAACTTTCCAACTGGTGTATATCCTGCTGTATCCTTTGACAACCTTCTTCACTATCCATAACTCCTCCAATTTTCGTGTCATCTACAAACTTACTAATCAGACTACCTACATTTTTGTCTGTCATTCATATATATATATATTACAAACAACAGAGGTCCTAGCACTGATCATTGTGTAATACCACTAGTCACAGACCTCCAATCAGAAAAATACCTCTCCACAACTACCCTCTGCCTTCTATTTGTATCCAACTTGCCAACTCCTCATGGATCCCATGTGACTTAATATTCTAGACCATCCTACCATGAAGCACCTTATCAAATGTTTTAGTAAAGTCCATGTAGACAACATTTACTGCCCTCTCCTCAATCATTTTTCCATTTCCTCAAAAAACTCAATCAAATTAGTGAGAAAAGACCTCCCCCGGTCTTATGCTGACTATCCATAATAAGTCCATTCTTTTCCACATGCAAGTATCTTCTCCAATAATTTCTCTACCTTTCCTGTGTCCAACCACAATATCCACAACCCAAGCTGCAAATCTACTCTAAAATCTTAGAGACCTATGGGCGAAGCACGCTCAAATTGGCATGGAAATGGGAGAACTACGCCAAACGACAGGGCACTACCCATGAACAACTCTACTTCCTACAAGTACACAGGAAAGCCATACATACTGACCAAGTACCGAATTTCAACAGCAACCACCCTAACACACACAAATGAAGTTGCGTGAGAAATTATTTAAACG